AAAGATATTTTCAATTTAAACATACATATGAAATAATACAATATAACCTATAATAACTTAAATTATATCAGTGCACTAGGTCGTCAAATCAATTCAGTTTAGTCCAATAAGCTGCCTGTAGTGTCTTTAAATGTCCAGCAGGTGTCAGTATTCTGTGAGACAGTAGCAACACATTTTGGCTTCAATATGCCTCATTAAAGCATCACTAATAAATATCAATGAGAAGATTCTGCTCTGCAAGTTAGTTCAACGTGAAGCATCACCCATGGAGACGGAGACCCACCACGTGCACTGCCCCCAGCTCCTTGGTTAGTTTATCCCGGATGTGATCCGCTGATACTGCCATGTCTATTTGGAACAAAATAACAGAGAAACACTGAATGGCGAAACACGACATGTGTAAACATTTCTAGAACTGTTTTATTTTTATTTTTTAAACAATGAAGACATATAGAACCGTTCGGTATTAAACGGTTTATTTTTTCTAAAGAATGGTAATTATATACAAGCTTTAAAGAACTGAACGCTACCTGTGTTTTGCTAGTTTCACCCTCTGGACGCCGGATAGCACAAACGTCACTCCGTAGCCCCGCCCTTGAATCCCACAAATCAGCCAATTGAATTGTAGCTTTCAGAACTTTAACCAATCAGGGACATCCTAAAGCTTTTACGCTGGTGTTCAAAACAACCAATCGGTGTCAAAATAGGAGTCCGTACAGAGGGACAGTTTTTATTTTTATTTTCTAGCACCAATTATAATGATTTAATTGAGCGCCGCGCCATGTCATTTATTAGTTAGTAATCAAATAATAATATTTTTGTTTTCTCTCTTAAAAGAGCGAAGTATGGAGAGTTCTTTACACATTTTTTGATCAGGCATCTTAACGGCCAACTAAACCAGAGATCAACTGTTCACAGAGGAAAACATTCAACAACATAGCATTTAAATGGTACCGGTTTCTAACTTTCTACATATTATTTCACGGGTTTATCGGCGATAGCTATGTTTGTTTTTAGCTAACGCTAGCTGCCGGTTTTACGGAGGCTAAAAGTGATTTTTTTTTAATAATGGTAGTGGAGGTGGAAAGCTTCTACGGTGTGTACATGCTTTACTGCACCAACCCAAAATTCAAAGGCCGCATCTACATCGGCTTCACAGTGAATCCTGAGCGGCGGATTGGACAGCACAACGCCGGGAGGCACAAAGGAGGCGCAAAGAGAACCAGCGGCAGAGGGCCGTGGTAAGTATGCCTGCTCTTCTTCTTCTTCTGCTGTCATGTTCAGGAGGAGCAGCGGATCTAACGTGCATCTGTTTCCCTGCGTTGCTTAGGGAGATGGTTCTTATTATCCACGGCTTCCCCTCGGATATAGCTGCCCTGAGGGTGAGTATGAGGCAGAGTAGAACACAGAGGGTCCATGTGAACATCATGGTTCACTGTGATTGCTCACCAGTAGTGAGATGAAGCCTCATGAACCGTTTCTTCATATAAGGGCAACATTTTAACTGATCTTTGGCCAAATTGCTTCAATAATCCCCACAGTTCATGAAGCCTCAGGTGAACATGTCGCCACCTACTGGTGGACTGCAGAACTACAGTTAGTAATAGAATCTGACTTTTTGCAAGATTGTTTTTCTTCTTATTTTTTCACATAAGTTCATTTGAAATTATGAGAATACATTTGTAGTATTATGAGAATAAACTCGTAATATTACGTGAATAAAATAGTAATAGTACGAGAATAAAGTCATAAAATTACATTTGAAATTATGAGAATACATTTGTAGTATTATGAGAATAAAGTCGTAATATTACGTGAATAAAATAGTAATAGTACGAGAATAAAGTCATAAAATTACGATAATTAAGTCGTAATATTACAAGAACCAAGTTGTATTTTATGTCAACTCTTCCAAGAAGCCCTTTCTTTCCTAAAATGAGGAATGTGAAGCATCATGGAAGTTATACTTTAGCATCGGTTTGACTGACTCTGGTTGCTGATTGGTGGAGCTGGTCGGCCGTCATCTGCTGGGCGGAGCTCCAAGCTGTCTTTCTGAAACGGGTTGATGTATGATGACTTCATTCTCGTAATATTACGGCTTTACTCTCAAAATAAAAAAATAAAAATCTCTATATCTATTATTTTTTGTTCTGTGTGCCTGTTAAAATCAAGCCCCCCCGGTAAACTTAATCTAGAACCGCCACTGGCGCCACCTTTCATAAACGAAAATAAGGGACACGCCCATAACACACATCGCAGTAGGTTTCATTTGTATTTCAAGAAAGCAATTTGTGGAAATGAAGCTTGTAATCCTTCATTAGCTGTGTGTCGCAGTTAGCTTGTCGCAGGTATGACGCAGATGGTTGACGATTTATGCCCAATATTGAAGCGTGTTATGTGCTATGTTATTCCACGCCACAACGCCAGGAACTAGCTAGGACTATGGGTGTCCGTGTGTCAGTTTGATGAGCTTCTTCACCGAATACATCGCCTCATCCAACGCCAGACGACTCACAGTTCATATGCCTCCTTTATCTCCACCCTGCGACGCTATAGGCTGATTTATGCTCAGAAACCAGGTCATTTGCATGACACTCTGCTGCACCAATTATCCAATTATAGGTGACTGTAGTCAGTGCCTCTGATTGGTCAAATCTACATCCGCTCTACTCTATGCGTATTTCCTGTTAGTTCGTCTGCTCAGTGGAAGCCAATTCCCCATTTTGCTATCAGCACCATTCTAGATCATTTCTGACACTTTATTTGTTAAACTTAGAACCTGGAAAGTGCCGAACGTTCCCTCCCCTCCTTATTTCACATTTATTGTCCCAGACTTAATTCATACCACAATCACAGAGAGCAGCTATGATTATGTGGAGAAACTTGCATAATTATAAAAACAAATTATTCCTGCAACCTGCTGAAGATTCCCTCCTCCTTATTTTCATATTGCCTCAAATCGCGTTGTCTTTGCTGCTGGGCTGTGATGCTGATCAGAACACCGTCACCTGCTCCGCTGGTGCCGCCACTGAGGTTGAAAAGGAAATGGCATGAACCCTCTGGGCCACCGTAATTTGGTCAGGCTACTCGTAAGCGCACAGCCCGCCAAATGTTGAAAAGGCAATATTATTGCCGTTACTGTTATATGATAGAAATGTACACATTCAGTGATAAAATGTCACAGGGTCATTTAAGAAAGGGGGATGCCATCCTCCCTCAACTCCAGTACTGCCTATATAGACCACAAAGAGTTAAAGCAAGATGGCGTTGAAGATAAAATAAGACAGAGAATATAAAAAGTTGTAATGTCTTGGAATATGTTTCCCTTAGATATAAAAACCTGCACAGCAGAGAGCGAATGGCAGAATTACGGAGCCCCTAAAGGGACACGGAGGGGAAAAAAAGAACTTTTGCGAGATCCCGCATTACTTTTGAGAGATCCCGCAATAAGTTTTACGAGATCTCGCAAAAGTATTGCGGGATCTCGCAAAAGTAATGCGGGATCTCGCAAAACTATTGCGGGATCTCGCAAAAGTAATGCGGGATCTCGCAAAACTATTGCGGGATCTTGCAAAAGTATTGCGAGTTCCTGCAAAAGTATTGCAGGATCTCACAAAAGTATTGCGAGATCTCGCAAAAAATAAAATTTTGCGAGGTCCCACAATACTTTTGCTGGATCTCGCAATACTTTTGCGAGATCCAGCAATACTTTTGCAGGATCTCGCCGTACTTTTGCAAGATACCGCAATAGTTTTGCAAGATCTCACAATACTTTTGCAGGATCTCGCAAACGTTTATTTTTGTGAGATTCCGCAATACTTTTGCGAGATCCCGCAATACTTTTGCGAGATCCCGCAATACTTTTGCAGGATCCCGCAATACTTTTGCGAGATCCCGCAATAGTTTTGCGAGATCTCGTAAAACTATTGCGGGATCT